GCTCTGGGGCACAGTGATGGATGGCGATCGGGGTCCCACCTACAGGCCCCAGGTGGGGGCCTAAGGGGTCAGGATGTGGGAGAGCCAGGCCAGAGGGGACTGTGTCTGCTGGCCCGCCCCTGCCCAGCTTCTTGGGCCTCCAGTTTCTTCAACCTGCTTCTCTGTGACAGGCTCCACACCTGGTGGTGGGGACACAGCAGTGAGAAAGACACTCCTCCAACAGGATCCCTGCTCCACGGTGCTCAGCAAGAAGCGGAATAGTTAAGGTTCAGACTTTGGTTCTGCATCTCAACTTCTCTGTGCCACGGTTACCTCATCTGTGCAATGGGATGACAGTATTACCACTTTATATGTCCTTCTAGGGATTAAATAAAATGGTGTGCTTATGGATGTTAGCCCTGAAGTCTGGCGTGCAGAAGGAGCTCATTGAAGGTTAGCTTTGATCATTTTTAGTTGGAGGAGAAGGACAACCAGATCTCCCTGGAAATCAGGGAGACCTTCCTGGAAGAGGTGACATGGCAGAAGGACAGTCAGAAGATAAATGGGGAAGGTGCCAGTGTTGCAGGCGGGAAGGGTGGAGAGGACGGCAGGGCTTAGCCCCGAGCTCTAGTTCCTGTGCCCCAACTTTAGTTTGCCTCCCAGACCCCAACCTGAGTCCACTTTCTTCTTGGCCACAACCCCATGCATGCCTGAGGACGGAGGGGCCAGCTCCCCTCCCTGCTGGCCTGCTGTCTCACCTCCCCGCCCCCCGCCCCGCTCCCCCACACAGCCGGTCCCAGGAGCCATCAGGGTGGGTGGTGCCAGGTGCGGCTAAGGCTGGTAGGGAGGAGCTGGGGCTCAGCGTGAGCCTCTCTGTTAGAATCTTCCTCTTCCAACCGTGGGGAAAGGAAGGAGCCCGGCCACAGGGCTGTAGCCTCGGCCGCGAGGGGACGCCTGCCCCGGTTTGGTGCCAAGCGCAGCTCTCCTCTCCACCCTGGCCCACGCTGTGCTGGGCGTCTGGGATGGGGGTGAACCAGCTCTGGTCCCTGCCCTCAAGGAGGGGAGATGGGTGCCGGGCCCTAGAGGGAAGGACTGTAACCAGAAGGTACAAAGTGCCATAGGAATGAGGCGACTCAACCTGGGAAGGCTTCGTGGAGGAGTGGCCCGGGAGCGGAATCTTGAGAGAGAGGGAAGGGTGTGTGCGAAGGCCTGGAGATGGGAGTCAGGGCTGCTGCCAAGGTGGGGCTGGAGTGAGGACAGGATGGTGGGGGCAGGGCCAGCCACCAGCGCTCACAGCAGGTGACCTGGTTTGGTTGGGGGAAGAGGAGGAGGGAATGGGAGTCTGGGGAGGCCAGGGAGGGGGGCGCGTCTGAGGTTCGGTTGGGCAGTGGGGCGAGTGGGGTGCAGCGCCTCAGCCCTGTCCTGGGCGGGCCTGCAGAACCCTGGGTGTCGCCTGGCCTGCAGCTGTTTACTGAGCACTTGCTGTGTGCGGGGCGAGGCTGGGCTGTACCCTCGCTCAGTCCCCACAACCCCCACTGCGGTAGGTGGCGCAGGCGCAGTCATCACAGCCACATGACAGATGGGAAAACAGGCTCTGAGGAACTAAGCAGCTTCCCCAAGGTCCCCCAGCTACGAGTGGCAGCTGTTCTATCCACATGAGGTCCCTCAGCTGCGGGGGCCATCCCACACCCGGCCCTCGGAGTCCCATCCCTGCCTCCGCCCTGGGCGGGGGGTCCAGGGCTTCAGGCCGGGTGCCGTCCAGCCTCACCCTTGTCCTCGGGGGCGGCGCAACCCTGCTGTGCTCAGGCCCCCTCCCCACTGTTCTGAATGGTGCCTCCCACCCCCAGGGCCCACGCCCGCCCCAGCTGGCTCAGTGCCCTTTGCAGCCAGGATCTGGTGCCCTCCCGGCCTGAGGACCTGGGGGCTCAGCTTGGCAGTGTGAACCCAGGTGTGGGCCTGGGCTCGAGCTGGGTGGGGAAGAAAGAATGAGCTGTCACAGCCCCTGCCCTGGTGGGGGTGATGGGGTGATGGCTCTTGCTGGCAGGCGCCACCCAGTTTGCCGAGAGCTGTGGTTCCTTCCTCCTCATGAAAGCCCCAGTCCGATGGGGGAGACACTGGCACGCCCTGCCTGATGGAGGACGTCGTGGCAGTGGGTAAACGGGACAGGTGCAAGCCTGTCGTGCCGGGTGAAGGCTCATCAGCGTGTCCACCGTACTGGGACCTTCCCCGTGTTCCTCCCAAAGAGCGGAAGGGCCAGTGTGACCATCAGTCAATTCCACTGTCCGGACTGGGCCATGCTTACCGGCTGGTGGGGTCCCTGAGGTGCAAGGTCCTGGGTGGACTGCCTTTCTCCCCTGGCTGCAGGCAAGCGTTGGTAGGGCCTTCACCTCTAGGTGTGGCCTGAAGGGATGAGAACCTTCCTCCCGCCTGAAGTGTGGACCTAGCATTTTGGTTTCAGGCCCAGGCTCTGTACTTACCAGTTGCCCTGGTAACTGGTCCAGGAGGATTTCTCCCTCGGGACCCACACGGGGAGCAGGAGGCTGGGCCAGCCACCCCCAAAGATCCCTGCCTTGGCGGCTTTACATGTCAGCTATTTTAATTTTTTTTTATTTTTTAGTTAATTTATTTATTTGGCTGTGTTGGGTCTTTGTTGCTGCACGTGGGCTTTTCTCTAGTTGCGGTGAACGGGGGCTGTTCTTCGTTGTGGTGCGTGGGCTTCTCATTGTGGTGGCCTCTCTTGTTGAAGAGCACGGGCTCTGGGTGTGTGGGCTTCAGTAGTTGTGGCACGTGGGCTCAGCAGTTGTGACTCGCGGGCTCTAGAGCACAGGCTCAGTAGTTGTGGCGCACAGGCTTAGTTGCTCCGCGGCACGTGGGATCTTCCTGGACCAGGGCTTGAACCCGTGTCCCCTGCATTGGCAGGCGGATTCCTAACCACTGTGCCACCAGGGAAGTCCCTTAGCTATTTTTTTTTTTAATTTTAATTTTATTGGAGTATAGTTGGTTTACAATGTTGTGTTAGTTTCAGGGGTACAGCAAAGTGATTGTTATGCATGTACATTCTTTTTTTAGATTCTTTTCTCATATAGATCATCACAGAACACTGAATAGAGTTCCCTGTGTTATACAGTAGGTCCTTGTTGGTTATCTGTCTTATGTATAGTAGTATGTGTATGTTCACCCCAAGCTCCTGATATATTCCTCCCCTTTGGTAACTGTTAAGTTTGTTTTCGATATCTTTGTCTGTTTTGTAAGTAAGTTCATTTGCATCTTTTTAAAAGTTAGATTCCACATATGAGTGATAGCATATGGTATTTGTCTACGTGTTAGCTATTGAATGAGATGCCGTCTATGAAAATGCCTGGGGCACCCCAAACCTCAAGGTGGGGGGCAGGCAGGTGGCATCTACAAAGAAGGACTAGCCCACAGACCCATCCTCAGTGCCCGGCCCCAGGCCCTCCCAGCCCAGGGTCCCCTTGGTTACTTAGCGAACCTGGGATTTTTTTTTTTTTTTGCCACTCATGGCATGTGTGATCTTAGTTCCAGGCCGCATAGCCCAGTGGGAGCAGGCTGTCTGCCTCTGCTTGTTCTGAGGCTTCAGAGCAAAGGCCGCCCCCAGGCCCAGTGACTGGCTCAGCAGATGCTGGACACAGGTGCCCTTTTTCTTCCAGCCTCTTTAGGGCTCACTGGTTCCCAGGAGCAGAAGCCCACTTGCTAAGCAAGCAGCAGAGGCTCTTGGCCGGCTGTGGGCTCACAGGAGGGAAGGTTAAGAGGTGAGCCATCGGTGTCTGGAAGGACAGGACAGGCACTACAGCTCCGGGAATCATTCCTGGTGGGAATGAAATGGCACTGTTTCAGCATCAGTCTCTCAAGAGAGAGCATCGTAACTGGCCTATTGTGGGTCACCCGGTGGGGATGAGGGAAAGCCGTGGCCACACTGCACCGAGGCTGCGGGGAGGGGGTGGCACCAGAGAAGCAAGAGGGGCCGTGAACAGGTCCACAAGGCCTGCGCCACCCCTCGGGCGGGTAGGGTCCCACAGAGCAGGGAAAGGACGAGCTGGGAGGTGGCCCCGAGCCAGGGGCACACACTCCTCTTCTGCCACTTGGGTCCGGCTGCCCCTCACTGAGGAAACCCGGTCTCAGGGCCCAGTGTCCCTAAGCTCACTGGCCTGACTTAGCAGCAAAAGACAGCAGTGATGGAAGATCAGGCCTGGCATACATCACAGTCACAATTTCTGGCTTCCAATTGTTATTTTGGTCACGTGATCGAACACCTGATAAACATGAACTCATTTATCTGTGCCAAGCACTCTACCACGAGGATGTCATTTCCATTGGAGAAGGGCTCTGGGTCCACTGACAGAGCTCCGGCCTTCACCTGTCCGCCTCCCTCATCTTCTCCACCTGAAGGTCCTTGAAAGGAACTGCACGCAGGTGTCTCTCCTGTTCCCCGTCTCTATCTCAGTGGTACTCTGCACTCAGTAAAGATGTGCCCCATCTGGGAACTTTCTCATCAGACCATGCAGAGAGGAGCTGGGCCCAAGGATTCGGGGACAGGCGTGTCAGGGACCCAGGACCTCAAACCAGAGGGGCTTCGCCGGGGTGTGGGCCCTACTGCCCTGCCAAGCTGCCCTGGTGTCAGCCGGGAGAGCACGGACTACAGCTCAGAGGGACCTTGGGCACGTTAACCCCAACCTGTTTGCCCACGTCACCCAGGGCTGTGAAGATGGCGTGGGACGAGTGTGGACATGCCTGCGCAGAGCAGGTGTTTGCTGAAATGAAAGGGGAGGTGGGGGAGAGCCCCCATCCCATCACATCTGATGATGGGATGGCCCCAGCTGTTCAGGACAGGTGGGGCAGGGTCTGCGCGGAGCGGGGGCCCAGAGAAGCCGCTGGAGATCTGCAAGGACCCCCTGCTCGCTCACCACGTGGGCCCCACGCCCCCACTGGGGTCAGCCCTCCCAGCCGAGCTCACACATGCTTGGACAGCAAGGCAGGCAAGAAAGAACACAAGGCCAGTGCTAACTGCATCCCAGTTTCTTTTTATTTATTTTTTTGTTCTTTTTTTCCTTTTTTTTTTTTTAAGTATGGAAGCTCAAGTATAAGATGTAGATTTTTTTTTAAGCTTTACAAAAAAACAAAATAAAACAAAAACTCCTTTTGCATTCCATAAAAATTGACAGAAAAGCACCTGGCCAGAAGAGCAGGACGGTCCGCAGGTCCCCGCCCCCCACCGTGTGGTCTCCGCGGGACAGGGGCCAGGCGTGCGGGACGACGCTGAGGGCCACCTCTCCTTTCTCCCAGAGCTGTCCCCTGTCCCCGCCAACCCCCAACCCCAAGCAACTCCCAAACACACGTGGAATCAGATTTCCAGTTTTTCTTCTATCTTTCACACACCACAGTTATTTCATAAAATTTTTTTGTTTTACATTTTTTACACCAATGTAACAAAAGGGTGGGAGGGAAGGGAGGCAGACAGACAGTGTATTTTATGCCTATAAATGGGTGGTGGTGGAGAGACGGGGGGGCCGGGGCAAACAGAAAACATGGTTTCTATGGAAATACTGAGTTTTGATAGCAAAATGTGGTGGGAAGTAGGCCTCAGAGACAAGAAGGGTTTTTATAGGGTTTATTCTCAGGGAGAGATGGCGCTGTGCAGTGGTGATGCAAGTTGTTGTGTGACCTGGGCGGGGGGGAGGGAAGGGACGAGGGAGGGAGCAGAAAACGAGTTTCTAAGAAAGGAATCTAGTGAGCGCACGGCAGCGTGTCCGGTTAGTTGGGAAGAAGAGGCTTAACACTGCTGCTTTCTCTTCAAAGCCTCCACCAGGTCGTTCTTAAGAGCTTCTTGTTTTGATTTGTCTGCAAAAGTCTGCACAGACCTGTCCGGGGAGAAGAATTGTCATTAGCAGGCTGAACAGGAAGAGTGCAGCGGCGAGGGGCCGAGGGCGCCCTGCCGGTGCGTCCAGGGCGAGGGGCCGGGTCACTGGGCTGGGTGCCCCCTTCCCCATCCTCTGGGAGTGCGAGCTGCAAGCTGTGCGGAGGGGGCAGAGGGGCCCAGAGCCCGAGGCCGGCCCCGCGGGGGAGGCCACGGACCACCTCTGCACCAGGCTGGGCATGACCTGGACTCTGGGGCACAGATCCCAATGTCAGCCTGAATTAGAAGTGGGCCTCCAAGCACGCCACAGCAGAGACCGTCTGTGCTTCAGCCCAGCTGTGGACTCAGGCCAGAGGCCGAGAGATAAGGACCCCGTTACAAAGCACGGGGTGCAGGGCTGGCCACCCGGCGAGCATTAGGAACCGGCACCTCGGACGTCTGAGCCCACTGCCTGGGCAGCACCTGCGGGCAGGCACTTTTAGGCTTCGGCTGCAAGGCACCATCAGCTGTTAACTTGGCCAAGAAAATCCCTCAGCCTGAACTTCAAGAGGCAGGAGGGGACAGGTAAGTGGCCCTGGGTCGCTGCTGTCAAATCCTGAATTTGTGGGGAAATGTTCACGGGAGTGCACTTGCGCACAGGTTAGACTGAGCGAACGACAGCTAACCTTTGTAGAGGTTGTACAGTTTACAGAGTGCTTCTCAGGCACACTTCACTCTCACAAGCATTCTGGAGGGGGTCTGAGCATTACTCCCAATTTACAGATGAGCAAACTGAGGCTCAGAGAAATGCTCCTGGCAATGACCTTAATGATCACTTTGTCAGATTTCCTCCATGTGTGGGTTAACCAGGAACTTACTAAACTATTTATAAACTTCCTAACAGTTTCAAAGCAGTGGAAAGAAAGAGTGGAAGGCTACCTTGCAGGAATGCTGTGGAGCCACGGGAATGTCACGCTTGACACGCACTGGCCGTGAAACAGAATGGGAAGGAGAGACCCCAAAATAACCCCCCCCCACCGAATACGGGTGCAATGCAGTGAAGCAGGACCCGGGAGCCTCCCACGCGGAATGCTGGCTACCGAGTCCTGGAAACGTCATGGGAAGCGCCCTCGAGATGGTGAAGGAGGAGGCAGAGACGAGGCTTTAAAAGAGTCTATGCGCAGCTACAAAAATTCCCACGAGAAACGCTGACATTTTTGGTTGATGCCGCTGAATACACTTTTCTGAGTGTTTGCTCTGCTCTGCTCTGCTCTGCGACGGCCAAAGGAAGGGTCAGGCACCGGCCCTGGTGGCCCTCGGCCTGCAAACCTCAGCCAGCCCACCACGGGCTTCTGGAAAGCTCCCAGTGGGAGGCTAACTTGCCCAGCGGGAGGATGCGGTGGGCGGAGTAATGGCTCCTACGGCACCCCGGCCTGACTGGGTGCTGGCTCTTCTGGGAAGGGGCACGCCAGGCCTGGGCTGCACCCAGCCCCCCGCTACCCCCCAAAGGAGAAATTTCCAGAGTTAGAACCAGGTAAGGAACAGGAGGTCAGGCTTGGAACGGCTGGAGGTGCAAGGAGCAGGACCCTCGTTTAGGGAAAGGAGCTCGGGAAGGTCACTGCCAAGCAGCTCGGAACCAATGCCTGGAGGTGGGAAGGAGGGCCTGTCCTGGACAGAAGGTGCCAGGCTGCCCACTGCTGCAGGGGAGCTATGTCAGAAAGCCTCCAGTGGGTGGCCACAGGACTAGCCGAGGTGAGGGATCCAGAAGATTCTAGACCCACCCTAAAAGCTGAGGGGCTGGAGAGGAAACTGCACCATATGGAACGCCTTAAAAGGGGCTTTCTTAATGCTCTGATGGGAGTGTAACGGTCCGAGCATGAGGCTGGAGGCTGACAGACGCCCCAGGCCTGATGCCGGTACACACACACACCAGACTGTGCTGCGGTCCCACGGCTGCAGAAGAGCCGCTCCGCCTGGTTGCACAGGCGGCCCACCTCTGTCCCCCCCACTGGGCCTCTTCCGGGTCAGGGTCTCCGAGTCCAGCCCCTGGGCCTGGGAAGAAGCCCCTAAGCCCAGGCCCTACAGCCCTGCCCAGCTGGGTTTCCAAACGCCTCTTATTAAAACCAGTTTCCCTGCTCCTCTTCGGGGATGCTGACTGCTTTCACACATCTGTATCTGTCACTAGCTCAAGTCATGGTCCTTGGCCATCGTCTACAGCCAGACTGCTGTCCCTCCATCGGCGTAAGGCATTTAGGAGGACAGCTGCAGCTCGCCAGGGGCAGAGGGTTATGCCGGTCCCGGCGGCTCCAGCGGCACCCCGTCTTGGGGGTACCAGGCCCGGCCCGGGGGTTACAGCCGCACTCTGTGTTCCATCCTCAGACTCAGGGCGATACACCGCCCCCTTTTAGGTCGGCTAGCCCCAGTCAATCTCCCACAGAGAAGGGGCTCATCTGGCTTCTGGGATCCTTGGTGGACAGCTGGCGAAGCCCCGGCTGCACACACAGCAGAGAGGCCGCCAAAGCCACCGGCCAAGCGGGAGGCCACTGGGAGCGGCGCAGGCGAGCGGCTCCTGCTGGAGAGGCGACGGTGATGCCCGGCGATGCCCGGCCTGCTCAGGGGCAGAAGCCCAGACGGCCCGCCCTCACACGCGGCCCCGCCCAGAGTGCAAAGCACACACACCGCACACGTGATTCAGGTCCGTGTAACGCGGGGCGGGGTGAGTGTGCTCGTTAAGGGGGCTGCTCCCAGCCGGGCGAACACGGGGTTAGTGGTGTTTAAGGGTCCGGCGGGGCCCGGCGGCTGGTGAGTCCTGTTTAGTGGGGCGGCGCTCAGGCCTCTCAGGCAGGGTACCTGGAGCGGCTTAATTATCAGGCTGGATGTGGATCTGGCGCTGCGTCAGCACTTGGGAAAGCTCCCTCTGCAGCTGCAGGAACTTGGGGTTGTCGGGGATAACGTCAACAGATCTACAGAGAGTGTGCAGAGGTGAGTGCAGCGGCAGGGGAGGACGGGACCCAGGAGCACAAGGGGCGACAGCTGAGAGGACGTGCTGGGCACACACAGGCAGAGAGAGGCCGCTGCCGCTCGGGGCTGTGGTGGGGAGGCTCTGCCGCGGGGCTCCTGCGGGCGGCGGTCGCGGCTTTCAGGGGCTCAGGCCACCACCCCGCAGGCTCTCCGCGGCCTTCTCCGATTTGTCAGCCAACGCCCGGGGACCCTGCAGGCCAGGCGGCTGTGTGGCTGGCTCAGGGGCCCCAGGCTCAACAGCCAGAGGACAGCAATGCTCTGGGGGTGGAATAAAACCCACTGGGGGCCAGAACACGTTCCCCACAGGCAGGGAGGAAATCAGAAAGATGATGAGTCCAAAGTGGGCCCCATCTTTTAAAACCCTATGAGTGAAAGACTAAAACATCTGTCTCCTGGACAGATTCACAAACCAGAGCTGCTTCCTGTCCACAGTGGGGGATTACAGGAAACCACGGGCAGAGCATTAGCCCCTGGACCCGCGTGGTGGTGTAGGGCCGCACACCGGCCTCCATCCCACCCCCTCCCTTCGGCAGCCCTGCTCCTGGACGGCCGGAGGGCCACTGGGAGTCATCCCTGGTCGAAGGTCACACGGCTCTGGCTGACAGAGGCTGCATGAGATCCCGGCCTCCCGACTCCAAGGCCAGTCTCGCTCCACAGCGGCCTCCACTACCCGCCCCCCTAAAGGGGCTCTGGCCTCCTACCCTGCCCACCATGACCTTGAGGACCCAGCGAGCCCCTGAGCCCCCTTTGACCTTCACTGGGGCCGACGCTGAAGAACCGAGGGCACAAGACGTGTGGGGAGGGGCAGCCAACAGCCCTGAGAGGACCCCAGGGTGGCGGGTCCCTCTCCAGAAAGCAGCAGGTCGGGGGGCTATTTCTGTGGGACTCTCTGCTGCCCTGGAAACCAGCCAACCAGAGGCTGGTGGTGTCATGCCCTCCTGCGTCTTAGGGTCTGATCTGGAGGTATCCTCAGGCCCAGGAGCCAAAGGGGCCGGGCAGATTCTTTAGGTGGGACTCAGCCTGAGGGACCGAGAGGTGACTCCAGGGACAAGGGCACCGATGCTGTTAAGGTGAATGGGCCCCAGGAAACAGAAATGGTGCAAGTCTACTCTGATTCCCACATCTATCCTGAGTACACACTCTGTATGCCGGGCTCTACCCTTGCAAAACCTGCATTAACAACCCTATAAGGAGGATAGATACCTCAGCCCTGGTTTACAAAGGAGGAAACAGAGGCCCAAGGCCATAGAGCTCTTAAGCAGTGACCTAGGATTCAAATCCACATCTTTTTGGTTCCAAAGCTCGTGCTTTGGGGTACATTACCTTAGCCCATTAACGATGTCCTTTGTTTTTCCAAAGTAGATCTCATTCAGCGTACTTCTGATTTTATTTTCCATGTCCTGGAAAAGGAGACCGGTGAGACTGACGGGAATGCCCTCCCTCCTCCCGCCCGCGCCCCTGCAGTCCCCGCTGTGACCGCAGGGTGGAGGCACGTGAGCGTGTGCCCTGAGCGCCTCCCCATCCTGGCGCCCAGGACGCCAGTACCAAGTCCCGGTGTCCCAGGCTGACCCTCACTGGGAGCTGGCCCACCCCACTCAACCACCCGCCAGCCCTCCCCCCAGCTCTGTGAACAACCCCGTGCAGCTGGAGAGCACCCCCTTCTTCCAGGTGGCGTGGGGAAGGGGGAGCTGAGGTGTAGCTCAAGTCCCCCTCCAGAGCCCACTGGTGTTCCCGGGATCTGCTTCCCGTCTGAGCTCAGGTCTCCGCTCGCACCCACTGGACGGGGGGAGACAGGACTTAGGGCCTCCCGAGCTGAGTCTTCAGGGTGCATGTGTTTGGGGGACAGTAGAGGGGGTGCCTCTGGAGCTGGGCCCTGCTTGCGTCCCAATCAGAAGGCTCAGGAAACACGAGCCCAGGGCAAAACATGAGAAATGCGCTGCTGGCTGCTGTGGAGCTGCGAGGGAGCAGCAAGGGAGGCCGGCAGCCGGGCTCCAGGGGCGAACGTCCCATGCGGGGAGGCGAACCGCGGCAGCAGGAGGCCCACTCACCTCGACCAGGCGCCCGATGTTGGCTATGTGCGGGGAGCAGTCGCTCACGGTTTCATCCTTCTCCATCTGCAAAGAGACAGAATGTTCCTCTAGGTCAGAGAGCCGGGTGAGGGCCCAGGGCCTGTTCTCCCTGCTGGCAGGCCCGGGGCCGGCTGGCGGGGGTTGAAGGCCACTTTTCCAGTGAGGGAGCCCCAGCACAAAGCAACCCAAGTTTCAGGTCGTAGACAGTCCGGCCCGCAGAAGCCCCGAGGCCCCGCTTCCAGGGGAGAGTCTCGCTCCGCCCTTGTGGAGCACACCCCACCTCCACCTCCACAGCCCACAGCAGGGAGGGCGCAGGTGACCACCCCTGCCAGGCACAGGCTCAGCTTGGGGCCTGATGTCGCAGATGAGCCCCCAAAGTGCCATGCCGCTGCCGTGCCTGTGTGGCAGCTACGGAGGGAGGGACCGGCAACCCGGGTGTCAGGAGACTCCGAGGCTCAGACAGATGGGGTGACCTGCCCAAGGTCACACAGGGAGTGACAGCAGAGCCTGGGTCAAAGCCATGCTTACTTCCAAGCCTACATTCCTTCTACTGTGTGAGGCTGCAGGGCCGGCCGAGTGACCATGTGGAACTTGAACAAGAGAATCTCAATCTGCATCCCTGGTTACAACAGAGGGGGTTTAAGAGGAGGTGGGACCCAGTGAGCCAGTTCCGGCCCAGTGATCAGTACTCTGAGTATTAAAAGGAAAGGGGGCAGGGAGGGGAGAAGGCACTGATGACCCTGACACGAGCGCTGAGTCATGATGCACGCGGAGCTCTCCCCCAACTTCCACCCTATGTTTAAGGCTTACTTCCCTCACAAGATTATACATTCCTTAAGGGCAGATGTATGTACCTGTTTTACACTTCACAGGTGCCTAGCAGAGTGCTAAGTGCATAAACGCTGTTTAAACCGAGTGGAAGTGTAGCTACGGTCACCACTGTTATTTATTTATTTAGAAAGATGTATTTATTATTAATTCATTAATTTATTTTTGGCTGCATCGGGTCTCAGTTGCGGCATGGGGGCTCTTCGTTGCAGCATGCGGGCTTCTCTCTAGTTGTGGTGAGCAGGCTCCAGGGTGGGTGGGCTCTGTAGTTAGCGGCACGCAGGCTCTCTAGTTGAGGTGCGTGAGCTCAGTAGTTGCAGCGTGCGGGCTTAGTTGCCCCACGGCATGTGGGATCTTAGTTCCCTGACCGGGGATTGAACCCGCGTCCCCTGCATTGTAAAGCGGATTCTTTACCACTGGACTACCAGGGAAGTCCCTCACCACCGTTACTGAAATAAAATCTGGAAGCTGAGGCAGTCTGGGGGAGGATGGATACATGTATACGTATGGCTGAGTCGCTTTGCTGTGCACCTGGAACTATCACAACGCTGTTCATCAGCTATACTCCAATATAAAATACAAAGTTTAAAAAAATACAAAAAAATCTGGAAGCTGAAATAGGCAACCAAGAAACAGCATGAGAAGACAGGAACTGGATCAGGAAGGCGAGAGCTCAAAGTGAATTCAGACCAGTGAAAACAGCAGGGCAAAGGTGGAAGGTTAACTACGTTCAGCACCGGAAGAACGGGGCAGATGCTTGGGGTGCGTCTGTTCGGAGGCTGAAGGCCTCTGCCCAGTCTCACCTGCTTTTACTTCTCTTACCCATTAGGGAGAGTGACTTCCAGGCTGGGAAAGGTAGAAAAGACCCAGTTAGGAGGGAGACAAAGCCGCAGATGGGAGGAGAGAACCAAGTCGCTTTAAATGATTAAGTTTCAGGGTCAGAAAAATCCGATTCTGTGACAGAGACATCCCTGAGAAGTTACGGCACACTTCAGAGGTGCCAGAACACTGGCGGAGGGCAGAGGCTGACCCCACTTCCATAACAGAAGGAAGGGTGGAGTTGGAGATTAAACACTGGCTTGACACTGATCCAGACAACAATTTCTGACGGGACCGTTAAAAAAAATCATCTGCTGGCGCACTTTCACATCAGATACTCCAGGAGCCAGCACGGGCTCGCTAGGAACATGATCTGCTGCGAGCCTCTCCAATTTCCTACTGAGATGGGGACGCTGGGCTGAAGAACAGAGGGCTCCTCTAAGATCACATCACTGTGGCAGGTTCCCATCCAAGATCCTGTGGCCGAGGCTGGACGACAGCCCGCTCATGTTCCCAGGGTGGCCTCCAGGGCATCTCGCACGATTCTCTACCTGGCCCTGGTCTACCTGTTTGTCCAGGACTTAAAGAAAGGCACAGCGCAGAGGGTTCATGGGATCCTATTGCCAGCATCAAGGGTGGAGGTGAGGAGACCCCGAGACACAGGTCAGCTGCAGAGCACAGCACTCCCTGGCGGCAGCGACCTCACTCCACCTGGTCCTCCTAAGAACCACTTTAAAGCCCAGGAAGCCAAAGCTTAAAGGTGTCAGGTGCTCTGCCCAGGTGACAGCCCCGCCTGACCCCGCAGCTCTGCTCCTCCAGCCCCAGCGCGCTGACTACCTTCACCAGGGCAAACGCAAACCACCTGCTTTGGCTCAAACACTAATCTCACCGAGAACAAAATGAGGAACAAGCCCAGTGAAGAGACTTGTGGGTTTTAGGTGATTTCAAGCTTGACAAGAATGTGACGGGACCAAAAGGAAACTATATTACTGGAGCCCAGCTCAGGGGCGGCGCGCCCCCCATCACGCAACGAAGCTGCAGGGGCGAGGCTGCGTCACTTGCTGAGGGAGGGCCCCCCGTTCCGTCCCAGCCCAGCCACGTCCACAGGGCTGGATGCAGTCTGGGTTTTCAGAGAGTCGTGGGCGAACTGGAGTCCTTCTGCTTAAAAGGTCTGAACACCCTGACCCCAAGAAATGGGAAAGAATTTGGATATCTCAGGCCGGGAGGGGAAAGACTCGGGAGGTCCTGGCCATGCTCTGAGGACCAGGCTGTCCAGCAGGGGCATGTCCGGCAATCCATGTCATTGCCAAGGGGTGACGGAGCTCTCTGTTATTATATCTGCATCTGCTCACAGAGCAATGAGCCCTGGGTCCCTGCAGGTGTCTGGGGAGAAACGGGGTGGCCATTTGTCAAGATGCTACAAGAGGGGGATCTGGAGTAGAGAGATGGTCTGGAACCCACAGCCTTGCAAGGCCCTTTCAAAGTCAGGAGACTAAGTCTGAGAGTGAAGACGCCTGGTTCTGGCAAGACCGTTTGGCTGAGGGCTGGCCAAACAGGAGAGACTGAGTGAGATGCTAAAACGATCGGCTGCTCTGCCCCCAACACGGGGCCCTGAGCCACCCCGGGCACTCTGGCCAGTGATCCTGGGGAGTCTCGCTCAGGGGTTGACACAAAACAGGAGGTGAGCGTGCCCACCAACTTCAAAGTGAAGTCACACCCCACCGTTCCAGGTGGATGAGCACCCCACCCTGGGCAGCGCCGTGGCGTTTGTGGGACATGCTGGGCCCTGAGCAAAACCCTGCGGCCACGACGACTGGAGCGTGCGCACGTTGCACAGGGGCTGGGACCGCGCTCCGCCCTGAGCAAGGACGGCGCTTGCCTACCCATTCTTTTTTTTTGGTACGCGGACCTCTCACTGCTGTGGCCTTTCCCGTTGCGGAGCACAGGCTCCGGACATGCAGGCTCAGCGGCCACGGCTCACAGGCCTAGTCGCTCCGTGGCATGTGGGATCTTCCCGGACCGGGGCACGAACCCGTGTCCCCTGCATCGGCAGGCGGACTCTCAGCCACTGCGCCACCAGGGAAGCCCTGCCTACCCATTCTTAAAAGGCATTTTTGGACACCGACACGCTGGCACTGAGTGTCCTCTCCTTCCACGTGGAAGAGGTTTCTGTGCCCGGCCAGACGGCAGCTCAGGGCTGCTCTTCCGGGCAAGGAGAGGCCTGGGGGGGGGTCTGACACAAATGAATTATGTCCTTCCACAAACTGGCCTCTCTGCCTCCCCAGTCCACGCAGACGGCAGACTCCTGGCAACCCCAGGGAAGCAGTGAGGCTCTGAAGCTCCGTGAGGGCCCCATTTTAAATGCGCACCAACCACGCAAAGTTGAGGCCAGAACTGGCGGCAAAGGGCTCAGGGCCATCAGGGAAGCAAAGTCACATCAGATATCAGATCTCTGGGGTATCATCTCTGCTTCAGAATCAAGAGCCATCCTCCAACAAAGGAAAAGGCTGGAAATGCTGGGCGCTCAAAGATAAAGGAGGTCTGGGCATGGGGGCCAGGGCGGGTGAGCCTCCCCCAGGAGCAGACCGACTACCAGGGAGGACACAAGGGGCCACGAAGCTTGAGGCAGGGAATCTGAGCCCAAGGCAAACGCCCAGCAGGGCCAGGGGCAGGGAAGGAAGAGGGTGGGCCGGGGTCGGGGCAGAGGCCCGGCACACAGACATGCCTCCACGGCCCCCCTGCCCGCACCCTGCCGACTCCCTTCACACCTGGTCAGGGTCAGCTCGCTGGCAAAGCTGGTCTGCCAAAAGTAGAACTATTTTTGCACCGCAGATACTATTACATCCTTATAGAGGGGATGCCAGAGGAGAACGTTTTCATGTGCTGTGGTCGCACAGATGTTCCACACGGTGGTTCCAACAGAGTCTGGAGTTAGAGCGCAGCCCGCCTGTCCCCATCAAGCACCTCCGCTCCTCTCCGTGGCCCGGCGACGTGGAGGACACGGGTGAGTGTGTAGAAAGCAGGCCATTTTCCTCAAAAGGGAAAACGTGAGCAGTGCCGTGCGGCACTTTGCAGTGAGCAGAGCCTGGAGGGTGGGGACCTGCAGGAACCCAGCCCCGTCTAACGGCTGCTGCTCTGGAGCCCTGGGGGGCGAGGGCCTTCCTGGCCTCTGCACTGCACCGGAGAACCTAATACGTGCACCAGGCCCAGAACAACGCCTGCTGAATGGCAGCTCCGCTCCCGGGACTCTCCCCGGCCTGGCTCCTCCTAGTAACTGGGCTGGGCTCCGGGTCAGAGCGCAGCTGTGAGGCCAGGATGTAACACGCTGTCAAGCCAGAAGACAGTGGTCAGACAGCCTCTCAAGGAAGGTTCGGTTTGCCCAGTTTAGGAAAAATTTA